AAAATGTCACATTACTTCATATATGTAAATAAATGTACGTATGCATGATTGTAACGATGAACTGTAAATGTTCAAGTTAGACAAATAAATTTTCTGTTCTGTTTTGTTATATAACGTCTTTTCATCTTCATGTTACGAAGTCTATAAATAGCTGTTGGTACATCCAAAACACTAACCTGCTAGCAATGTTTGAAATCATAGATTCTCTTGCTCTAAAACGGATATGGAATATCATGTTAAATATGTGTGTAGATTTTTTATTTGCAACTTCCTTTGGCAATATAGGGGAGTAATTTACTTAATTTTCTTTTAAAGTTCTCACAAACAGTATCATAATAGTTACCTAATTTTCGCACTACATTCACAAATTTCTCATTTCTGAAACAACTGCATCACTTGCCTATATATAAGTTGATTATAAAACATGACCCGTCCGCGGACAAAGAAAACCGGCCATAATCTTGCAAACGTTTTTAGCGGAATTACCTGCTCTTGATAATTTTTGAAGAGAATACATGTCTTATAATTACTTCTTAAACTTTTACTTCTTTGATAGCATCTTGAAGATAAATCAGATTAACAAGAGTTTTCTAGTTCTTATCTGTTTTGTACGTAAATAACCAAATTATATGTAATAATGGTTACATATGGTTCGTATAAATCGCACTTGATTGGTCGTAGTTGTATTTTAGATGTGTATGAATTTTATGTACTGTATTTAAAGGTTATAATACAATTAACTGTCAAATACAGGAATATATTTGGACTAGTACACAGCTTGAAATAGGCGAATCCAGTATGATTTTCCAAGCTGTGCACTCGTCCAAATATATTCCGTATTGTACGGTTAAATGTATAATAGCCTTTTTATTATATATCTTTCGTTTAATTGAAACTATCATCATCATACCCCAAACAAAACCACCACAAATATCATCATCAACACCACCATTATCAGCAATAAAATCACTACCGCTGTATAGTCATTAACACCATCAATATACATGTAATCACCAAAACCACCACCACTACCACCATCATCAATAATAGCCCTGTTCCCCCTGTCAATTTTTTAGCAGAAAATGTTATAATTCATGAATGGCTTTGTTGTATACATACATAATTTTTAGGATTTGACTGATACAATGAATACTTTGAAGACGTTATTTATTTATTTATCATTTACTGTGAATTCAAGAAAATGGCAATTAACATTGTCGAAACGAATTATACATTGTTACAACTTACATTTATCATTAATATTTGTTTAACTCCATAATTATATAATATAACAATAAATCAGAAAAATATCACATTGACACCCCTTATCTCAATTATCACATTGACAAAAGTATAACGCTAACATTTTTCTAGAGCGTCTTAACGCTATATTTATGTAATGCAAATGACGTCATGTCAAAATATATATGCACGGTCGTTTAGTACATATGTACCCAAACGTCCAATATGAAAATAATATATATTTTTGGATCCAATATGGGAATATAATTGACGTTCACGAGGTACAAATGCAGATTGTCGATTGGTTAGATTTATTACATATATAATAGTTGTAATTATAAATAAACGAATAAACTTTAATGCATCAATGGCTTTAAATTATAAATATTCGTTTTGTTGTTGAAACAAGGCATTTGGCCGGAAGTGCCTGGGGGTTAACATGCATACTCATATACGTACATCACATTTGCGAGTTAAATAATCGTTAAATTTAACATCGGGTGCGATTTAAACGTTTATTCATCTAGAAGCCGATAATTTAAATAAACCATGTACTGATGCCGATCTGAAATTCCTTAAGATAAGAATACTTCCTGGATCATATTGATTAGCTCTACCTGTAGTCACAAAATCAGTATACCTTTACTAGTTAGCTGTCACTATTGTAACATCGTGCTGTCACTATTGTAACATCGTGCTGTCACCATTGTAACATCGTGCGGTCACTATTGTAACTTCGTGCTGTCACCATTCTAGCATCGTGCTGTCACCATTGTAACATTGAGAAGTCACTATTGTAACATCGTGCTGTCATCATTGTAACATTGAGCAGTCACCATTGTGACATTGAGCGGTCACCATTGTAACATCGTGCTGTCACTATTGTAACATCGTGCTGTCACCATTGTAACATCGTGCGGTCACTATTGTAACTTCGTGCTGTCACCATTCTAGCATCGTGCTGTCACCATTGTAACATTGAGCAGTCACCATTGTAACATCGTGTTGTCACCATTGTAACATCGTGCTGTCACCATTGTAACATTGAGCAGTCACCATTGTAACATCGTGTTGTCACCATTGTAACATTGAGCAGTCACCATTGCAACATCGTGCTGTCACCATTGCAACATCGTGCTGTCACCATTGTAACATTGAGCAGTCACCATTGTGACATTGAGCGGTCACCATTGTAACATTGATAAGTCACCATTGTAACATCGTGCTGTCACCATTGTAACATTAAGCAGTCACCATTGTAACAGTGAGCGGTCACCATTGTAACATCGTGCTGTCACCATTGTAACATTGATAAGTCACCATTGTAACATCGTGCTGTCACCATTGTAACATTAAGCAGTCACCATTGTAACAGTGAGCGGTCACCATTGTAACATCGTGCTGTCACCATTGTAACATTGATAAGTCACCATTGTAACATCGTGCTGTCACCATTGTAACATTGAGCAGTCACCATTGTAACATCGTGTTGTCACCATTGTAACATTGAGCAGTCACCATTGCAACATCGTGCTGTCACCATTGTAACATTGAGCAGTCACCATTGTGACATTGAGCAGTCACCATTGTAACATCGTGTTGTCACCATTGTAACATTGAGCAGTCACCATTGCAACATCGTGCTGTCACCATTGTAACATTGAGCTGTCACCATTGTAACATCGTGTTGTCACCATTGTAACATTGAGCAGTCACCATTGCAACATCGTGCTGTCACCATTGTAACATTGAGCAGTCACCATTGTAACATCGAGCTGTCACCATTGTAACATCGTGCTGTCACCATTGTAACATTGAGCAGTCACCATTGCAACATCGTGCTGTCACCATTGTTACATCGAGCAGTCACCATTGTAACATCGAGCAGTCACTATTGTTACATCGAGCAGTCAGCATTGTTACTTCGAGCAGTCACCATTGTAACTTCGTGCTTTCACCATTGTAATATCGTGCTGTCACCATTGTTACATCGTGCTGTCACAATTATAACATCGAACAGTCACCATTGTAACATCGTGTTTTCACCATTGTAACATTGTAACATTGATAAGTCACCATTGTAACATCGTGCTGTCACCATTGTAATATTGAGCAGTCACCATTGTAACATTGAGCGGTCACCATTGTAACATCGTGCTGTCACCATTGTAACATTGATAAGTCACCATTGTAACATCGTGCTGTCACCATTGTAACATTGATAAGTCACCATTGTAACATCGTGCTGTCACCATTGTAACATTGATAAGTCACCATTGTAACATCGTGTTGTCACCATTGGTAACATTGATAAGTCACCATTGTAACATCGTGTTGTCACCATTGTAACATTGAGCAGTCACCATTGTAACATCGAGCAGTCACCATTGACCTTTTCGAAAACCTAGCTAAACACCGTTTTCCGGTACGTTACCGTTTTAGCTCTGGGGAATTCCACCAAATGAAGTACATAACACAGTTACGTGATATTTCTATTTTTCTATCATTATTTAACCGTTTAAGGTGAAAAAAATGATGTTTTTGAAAATTATCAATATTCCTTTAATATCTATTGCAAATTATTCAAAAAAAATAAAATTGTTTAGAACGAAAATCAATAAAATTCAAACAGACGTAGTGATATCTTCCATAATAAATAAGGTTATTTTCTGCGTAAACTTGTGTATTTACTTTATTTTATGTATGGAATTATTCATACAATGATATTTAATGATTTTCTTATAAAGAAATAACTGTTTTATTTCAACTTAATTTTAAAAAGGCCGAAAACATCGAGTTCGCTATTACACTCCATTAGGTGAATTCCCCAGAGCTATGTACAGAAAGTACCGGAAAACGGCGTTTAGCTAGGTTTTCGAACACGTGAATTGCAATATCGTGCTGTCACTATTATAACATCGTGCTGTCACCATCGTGATATATTGGTTTAGTCATTATACATGTAGATCGTGGTCACATCATTGTAAAATTGTGCTCAACCCATTGTAACATGTTTTTACCATTGTTACATCGTTTTTTTTCACCACAGGAACTCTGGGTTTTTTACCACTGTAACATCGTAGTGCAAGGAGGCGTGTACGGTTACTTGCACTTTCCAGTACCGCAATCAAACCGAGCCTTCAACATTTCCAGTTTAAACGCTCTGGACATTCTTTAGGGATTCTGTTGTCTCGATTTCACTATAATATATAATTGTACATCGTGTTGACACCACTGTTGCAATGTGGTTCCACCATTGTAGCATTGTGTTCTCACTATTGTAACATCACTGTGGCATTGTACTAACACATTGTAACATGATTGTTTTAACGTTGCAAGATTATGGTTTTAACATAATATCATCATAATTACGTCAATTTGACATAGTGGTTTCAAAATTGTAATATTGATTTCTCACAATTGTAAAATCTTGCTTACGCCATAGTAACACTGTGCCTGCGCCATTATGACAAAATAGTTTTGACCATTGTAACAGCGTGTTTTAACCATGTTACACTTTGCTTTTAGCATCGTTTTGATAATGTGATTACAACATTGTAACATTGTGCTTACACTAATGTAACATCGTACTTACGCCATTCTAGCATATTAATAGTTATAACCATTGTAACATCCTAGTTTCACCATTGTTACATTTTGCTTTTAAAATCGTGTGAAGTTGTCACAATTAAGGTAATGAAGAATAACATTTAAGTCAACAATTTATATTGGCAATTCAGTTTGAACAACAATCAACATACTTTACTAGTTTTATTATCAATCTTTATAAATGGACATAATAACTGGCACTGTCCTAGCCAATGATTGCTTCTTCTCCAGGTCTGAAATAAAGTTATAAAAATGGGACATATTCTTGTTTATATGCTACATTTGTTATAACAGGACAGTACAGAACAGATTACAGCGGCATTTTAAGTTAACAAGTGCAGGGTAAATAATGAATCAAAACATATCCATATTGGACATGTAAAATTACAAATAAACATAAGGTATTGCAAATAAACATTTTTCAAGTAAAAAGCAATCCTGGCATATCAGTGCTACACATTTTTATATATAATTTCACTAGTTAACAATTCTTCTAATTTGAAAAATTGGATTTAAAAAGAAATACCTTTTTAAATTTTTTTTGACTACTGTTATATTGTGTCCAACCTATTTTCAATGTAACATTTATCCGATGAATGGCAGTACAGAAATAGGCCCGCGGGCATGAGCATAATGTATGTACCATGGATAAATCGTTCTGAATGATAACTAAATGATCTTTTGAAGATTTCACGTTGTAATGATTGATATATGCAGAGGTCCTACAAAAACACGAATGCCAAAAGCGTTCTATATTGTATCAACGTCCTGGTAAATTGAAAATTATCATATTTTAGCCGTTAGCGGAACACACACGGAATTTTAATTTATAACTGAACATTTAGAACTATTTTAATCATTCTAAAACCATTTATATAATAATAAGGGGCGTTTGTCAATAATGAATTTAACATAAATTGTGAATTAAGGTAGAACGCGACACTTTGCGAACTTTCGAGTAGCGTCTTGAAAATTGACATGCAAAAAAATTGACCATATTTCTGATTGGATTTCGTTGATTTTATTTCAATAGTTTCAGCCAAATTTTGTACACATGACGTCCAAGTTGACCATCAAAGTCCGTTTTTGAACATGACGTCGTTGCGTATCCTTGGCAACTGTTACGGGTATTTCAACGCATTTGGCGGACAAAATATCTTAAATCCTACAGCATTCGACGGAAATCTTTTTATGCCCCCGCCAAGTAATGGCCGGGGCATATAGTGTTACCCTGTTCCGTCCTTCCGTCATTCCGTCCTTCCGTCATTCCGTCCTTCCGTCCTTCCGTCATTCCGTCATTCTGTCATTCCGTCATCATCAGTTTCCGTTCATTATCTTAGTAACGGTTGAACACATTCAACTCAAATTTGACATACAGGTCAAGTTCGAATTTGGTCATGGTTCGATGATTTTTGGCAGAGTTATGCCCCTTTTACTTTGAAAATAATATGAAATTTTCAGTTTCCGTTCATTATCTCCCCAACGGTACAACACATTCAACTCAAATTTGACATATGGATATGTCTTGAGAAAATACAGGTCAAGTTTGAATTTGGTTATGTTTTGATGATTTTTGGCAGAGTTATGCCCCTTTCACTTTGAAAATAATATGAAATTTTCAGTTTCCGTTCATTATCTCCCCAACGGTACAACACATTCAACTCAAACTTGACATATTGATATGTCAAAGGAATGCGCAGGTCAAGTTCAAATTTGGTCGTGGTTCAATGTTTTTTGGCAGAGTTATGCCCCTTTCACTTTGAAAATAATATGAAATTTTCAGTTTCTGTTTATTATCTCCCCAACAGTACAACACATTCAACTCAAATTAGACATATGGATATGTTTTTGGAATGCCCAGGCCAAGATCGAATTTGGTCATGGTTCAATGATTTTTGGCAGAGTAATGCCCCTTTCACTTTGAAAATAATATGAAATTTACAGTTTATGTTCATTATCTACCCAACAGTGTTACATATTCAACTCAAATTTGACATATGGATATATCAAAGGAATGGGCAGGTCAAGCTGGAATTTGGTCATGGTTCGATGATATTTTGGCAGAGTTATGTCCCTTTCACTTTGATACATCTTAGGAATAAGCAGTTTAAGTTTGAATTTGGTCGTGGTTCAATGATTTTGGACAAATTTATCTTTCTTGAATGTTGGAAAAATTTTGAACTTTCAGTTTCAGCACTCATACTTTTGTGGAAATGTATGTAGCCATTATTTTGGCTACAAATATGAAATATGCTATTTTCAAAAGGTTAAGACTGAATAATTTCAGTGCTTTGAACATTGTATGAAAATGGTTTGTGTTAACATTGAAAAGTTTTAAGGGCTTTGAACTGCAAATGAAAAAAAAAATTGTGCAAACAAATTTGGAACTAAATATTATAACATCTGAAATTTTGGCTGCATGCGGGGGCATCCGTGGCATGGTGACATATTTCTAGTTTTCCTTTAAACAGATATAAAATTTATTGTTTTACGCCGAAAATTGATTGAGAAATGGAAAGAAAATTGTCAATTTTGTGTAAAACTTGACGTTCAGATTAGCCGCAATTTTCGGCTTTAAAGCGGCTTATTAAAAAATTCCTGAAATAAATTTTTGATTTTTTTCTTGAAAATATGTTTCATGTTCCAAGATGCAATTATCGTATATACCTTTTACAAATGGTGTTACAAAGTTAATTTATCAAGGCACTTATTTGTTAAATTTAGTGTAATTTCTAAAGGTATATGCTCCAATTAAGCCAAACTTTTTCAAGAAAATCAATCTTTGAAAAAAGAAAGTTTTTAGACTTTAAGAACAAAAATAAGATTTATTTCACCCTAGTCTATGAGTTGTGTGCCATTAATGACTGATGTTTGAAGTATTTATCACCGTATTTCTACTGCATGACTAACGTTTAAAATGTATAAAGCTATATATCCGATGCAAAAATTATTATTTAAATTTAAAAAAAGCATACCTCCAAAATGCTTGTATGAAATAAATATGACAATGGTGCATGCTCAAAATCACTGCTAACTGGATAAAAACCCTACTTAAAATAGCCAAATTATACTTTTTTCCGGAACATTTTATTCTGTTTAAGTACATTAATTATGTGTATTAAATAACAGAGACATTCTATGTTACAACATTTTCGGGAATCAACAATATAATAATGGAACCAATATAATCTTACTGTTGATAAATTGTATTAAAATATTTCATAAGATATAGGTTTATACCCTTTAAGGGCTATATTTGTATATTTTCACTTTTTGTGGTAATTGGTAATTTATGTGGATCGTAGGGGCGGTTTGCAATGTATAAATTACTTTCTTTGTACGCATCACAACATTTTAACTTTATAAACATATTCAAAATTTTCATGAAGATTAGCATGAATTTAGAGTCACTTAGGTCAGTTTAGAATCGGGTCACTGTCGTTATCGCTAAAGCGGTTTAACAATCTATTAAATGACATAATTCAGATTATTCAAATGGGGTAGGAATTAGTTTCACCACAAACGTGTTCTTTAAATGAAAGTAATGATATTAACATGGGCATATACACAAAGGAAAATGTAACATAATAAGTTTTCAATAATTGGATTAGTCTTAATATCAAACAATAATTAAACTTAAAAGATAGTGAGACTCTCTGAAAATGTGATATTTTGTTTCTATTGAATCACAAACTCGTAAAAACTCGGATGTTAATATGATGACAATGCGTCAGCTATAATCTTGATGATTATTTCAAAGTTAAAGTATAAATTTATCAAAATACCTCATTTCACAAAGTGGTGTCCGTTTCCAGTCACATGGGGCGTCAATCCATTCATATCCATAACCCTCGTCAATGTATACACAGTTTTGTGCCTTGCCACCATTCGGTTCAGAAGTGAGTATATGCCAATTAGTAAAATTAGCTACCTGGTTGTTGTCGTACCATCTCCAAATTCCTTCTGTAACTTCATCTGTCAGGCCGATCCAGTGAATGGAATCTATTATTTGTAAGAAAAATCAATGTTAGAAAAGTTCATATTATATGTATTAGACTTATAATTTTGTATGAGCTCATTATCATTTTTTTTATACACAGTGTCATTGGAGAACTGAGTTTTGAAACTTTGACCATGAACCGTGCTCCTATACATGATAAAAGGGAATCAAAAGAGGTTTTTATTAAATAAAGGGACCCATCTCTATTTATATTTTTTGTTTTGCAAAATTAAACATGTTTACATAATAAGCTACACTTTATAGGCCCTTTTATGAAATCTTGTAGTTATAAATACTCTTTAAATATACAATAGTTCATTTAATCTGTATATTCAAGCTGATTAATTCTGAAAACTTGTTATTTATTATTGTAAATATCTTATCAAATGTAAATATGCTGAGTGTATCAATAAACTTAAAAGCTATAATTATATATCCAGATGATGAATTTCTATTTTATTTATCGGTATGGAAAATTTGGCTATTGTATCTACTTTAAGTTTCTTATCACGAGGTTTGTCCAAAAAGCCAAAAATACTTCTATAAGATAAAAACAGATCGTTGTAGCATTTTGAAATCTATACATAAGTAGATTCGATATATTTCCTCTTAACATGCCGAATTTCATTCATTTTAAGATATGATTGTTTTACAAATAACAATATGCAGTGTAGAGTTGTCGACTTCATTTTGACGTCAATGTGATTCCATGTAATCTTTACTAGACATGAAGGATTGGCATCCGGGCTACCGGATTAGTTTGCTTTCCAAGAATGTCAATACTTTTTGTGCAAAACTTGTACGTATGTGTCCCTCTAGTAAATCCTTAACCGATATATCAAATTCAATTTTTTATTCCCTGTTGCTTATTCATCATTTAAATTGTTTAATTTGATGATATTTAAAGAGCATGCACAAGTTAAGTATATTACTTTTTTCATAAATATCATATTTGGTAACTTTTAACTTTACTATTGAATAAGATAATCATGCTAGCTGTAACAAATGTTAAACTTTTTAATGTATGACACCCAGATACAAGTGTCAGCGATTCGCGGAAAATAATTGTTTTTTTTTAATTGTACATTGAAACAGAGTGTTTAAAATTGAAAGCACGCAAATGTCAATGAAAATCTTCAAAATTTTGACGTGCGCCGGCAATCGCAACTTTTCGGCCCTTTCCGTCAGTCTTCGGATTAGGACCTCGAACACAATAGTATGAATACAAAGAACGGATGCGGTATTTCGGTCTAACCTACGCTAAGAAACTAAACATGTAAACATGTAATGCTGGGAGTTGTTGATAAGTTTATTTCCAATATATGTAGTAAAGGTCCACCTAAAATAAGTGAATTCATAGATACAAAAGCAAACAATATAATATTTATATATTTATTATTTTGGTCATAGAAAACAAAAAAAACCTGTTTACATTTAGTCGGATTTGTTTAAAATTATACATTAGTGGGCATATTTATATTACAAATTGTTCTCAGACATATTTTCAATCATAAGTGTACCGAAACAGATATTATTTTTCTTTTGGATGTCAAATATATACAATCCTTTTACATTATCTCTGTTTCTGTTTTATATCTGAAACCACGTGGTAGAACTACTTATCCGTATTGTTTCCGAGGTTATTATAGCCGAGAATGTTCCGATCGGTGTGATAGTTGGCAAAAGTTTTGAACTATTTAAGTCAGACACATTTACGTACAATTTGCATGCGGCTAGATATTTTGTAAGAAAATAAGTTTGTGAGCTCAAAAATGCAAATGCAGCGTTCTATATTCATAATAGAACTTGTATGCGACCTTTTAGGGGTAAACCTCGAATACATGACTTCGGTTAATGATTTAAGCAGACAGTGACATTTTAAAGGTATAAATGTTTTGTAAAAATATACAAGAAGCACAAGAAATGATAGTCAATGCATTTGTTTTATTTCATGCTTTCCAGTGTTTTACTCTAATATATCAGATTAACAACTGGTGAATTTTATAAAATATAATTTGACACTGCAGCCGGTCTATATCTGAATGCGGATGTAGAGAAAATCATAGCTAAATTGAATAACAGGCAAAAATGAATGCCGTCATACGTAAATTTTGCTTCTTTAGGAACCGAAAATCGTTGTCATCATACATCATGTTAAACAGAACTATATTTCAAAATTGATGATGTGACGTCATGATGTGATAACGTCATAAAGGAGAATGAGCGACATTACGCTTCAAAATCAGTAAAAAAAATACCTAAAATCACTTAAAAAGCATAAAAGAAAAAGAAAATGTATTTGTTTTACATAAGATTGAATTATATTTCATTCTTGAACACCAGCTATTCTATTTTCACTCGTGGCTACGCCACTCGTGAAAATATTGCATCTGGTGTTCACTGAGTGAAATATGATTATTTCAATCATACATGTAAAACAAACGAATATTCTCTATGAATATTTATGAATCAAATCGCGTTTTTGTGTTTGGCAATGTATCCGAATTTTAATGCATTTATTGAACCGTTAACACAAGCATTTTGTACTTTTGTGACAACTAATGTTGTTAGTTATAAGGAAGAGGGAATTACATGACTCCGAATAGAGTAAACATTGACTCCTACATTTATTGGCTACTTGCAGTCCATGTGACGTTATGAAATAGAACAAATTTCCATTTCACGAGTATGTAAAACTATAAGCATCATCGAGAATGGTACAGCAGTTTTTCCCGTGTCTGATTTGGAAATCTCACGTGGCACTAATATTTAAAACAGCTCTCAATAACAATTCGTGACTATTTAGAATAGTCAACATTAACATTCCTTGACTATTTTTAACAGCTTTCGTTATCATTTTGTGATTTATTTTCAATAATATCATACTCACCTGATATTGATATCATACCTTTAAGATCCGATAGATAACTTTTCAGGAATGCATTTTCAGTTGCATCATTTACATGAGTTAAATATCCCCCCAGGTGTTCACAGAATCGCTGTAACAAAGAACCATTGATAAATATGAGTTCCACTAATATTCATTTTATCATGTCAATACATTGATTTCTGCTAATAAAGTGATTTAATAAATTTAGCTTTATTAGTTACCCTTAGCTTAATCAGACGCCTCATCAATAGATATTGAAATATATGGTGGCATATTTCTGCTAGCTCGTTATCAGGTTATCTGGTGACAGAAATATGCCACCATAGAAATTGAATGTACAGAATGAAATATTTTACCACCTACTAGTTTGAATATATTATACTGATAAACTTTCAATCGAATAGATATTTAAACATCTAAGTCTCTCTAACATTTGACTTAAAACATTCGGGACTATTTCTTATCGATATGTCCCGCAGCATATTACTGCGCGCGGCGTGAACTTGAGACGTTCTTGACATGTTTTTGCTTCATTTGAAGGTTAAAGAAAAAATCTCATATTAAATTGAAAACATGGTAAATAGATTACCAAAAAAGACTAGTGTCTGAAATTATAAAATTTATTAGGCCCGGTGCACAAATAAGAAAAACAAACAAACAACAACAACAACAATAAAATAATAATGAATGGCTCGGCAGAGTCATGCCCTTCTTTTTCTAATCCTTACCTGATAAATTTTGTAATGTAATACACTTGCATGGTATTCTCTACAACTAAGCAGTTTGAGAAAAGCTAAGGCATTATAATTACCGATTTTTATAGATATTTTCTGAGAAAATGATATATTTATTTGTTTTGCTATGTCACTTGTGAAAATATAACATCTGGTGTTCATTCTGTGAAATATTGATCTTTACTACAAAACAAGCTAATTAATTTCCATTCTTGTAAGGAATTTAAGAAAATGTAAATACTTATTTTGTCGCATCATAACGTCATTAAATCATCACGTTTCATTGCTTGCTTTTTTTTTTGAAAAATTGTTTCTTACAAAATTTTAGGAATTTAGTTTAAGACAAAATATCGATTTCAGCTATATTTATCGGATCGGATATTCTACACCGATTATGAGTGTTGATGCGCAAGAATTGGCCTTAAAGTACGTAGGCCTGAGTAGCTATTTTATTCGCAAGCGGAGTTGATTCCTATTTCGTACCCTACTGTCGCTAAGGTATAAAAACTATCAAACAAAATAAAAAAAATAAGATAAATGTCAAGAATTACTTTATTTAATAAATGTTCACGATTTACGTGTCAGGCTGGATTGTTTTATGCTTACATTGGCGCTCGATAAAACATTCTAACATTATATGAGGCTTTTTGTAATATAAATAAAGAAGGCCAGTATAATCCGAGCACGATAAACAGAGGTTTCTTCATATTTATTTATTGTTCGGAACAGTCCATCTTTCTACTATATAGGTAAATTAAATGTTGTACATGTATGTCCTATGCGTTTGACTGATAATTGTAAAAGTAATAAATGTTGCAATAGCCAAATCGGGAGAGCGCTTATTTCAGAAAGAATCTACTGCCTGGTTGACAGGCTTTGAAAAAGATACGGTTTCCTTGTGTGTTTTTTTTTTTGCTTTTTCTCCTTCTTGTACGAAACCACATAATAATAATGCGTTTTTATTTGATTGATTTATTAATGTTAGTGTTTAATCGAAATAGTTTCATCTGATTTATGCCACTATCTTATTTTGTTTATATTTTCATTTCTTATCATAAATGTATTAATATTTTGACAAATTTTAGATCGATCTAGAATCTTTTCTCCAAAGACCTAACAATGGCAATCGATAATCGATGATTAATCTTGACTTGACAATTTCTGTTTGTACTGTCAAAAGCTAGGCTACTTTGTTAAACATATTATTGAACATTTCTGACACAACAACCCTTAAGCTAACACTGGCATATAGTTTTAATCTACACGTATATCCGAACATTTAGCCAAAACACAATGTACTAGTATAATTTACCAACATCTTCCAAACATGCTTTTCATACCGCTCTACAGATAAACAACTAGCTTAGTTAACACAACTACGACTACGCTACTATCTTTAATATATTGATGCGCGCGCAAACAATTTTTACCGAACACATTTCTGATACTTACCGATATCATAGAATCGCTAATTCAATTATAAAAGATTGAAAATGATTCGCATGTTTACTAAAATAGTTTTTTTTTCATTTTATTCAATACTTTTACGCACCATGCCATGCTATTTGTTTAATATGTTAATACGACTATTGAGCAGAAATCGTCAATTTAATACAACATACTACACATGCATGTTTTAAATTAATTCGTTCAAATGTTTGACATTACTCACTCAGACCTACGGCGCATCTCAACTCAATTCCGTACAATATTATACAACGACGCATCTATTTCCTTAATCATGTTATTTTAGTATCATATTGAAAGAAAACATAAATGGAACGGCAAATATCTGTAAAAATGTTTTATAATTGTTGCCCTTAAAAAGCTTTGTTTAACCATCTTAATTGAAGCTGAACATGTAAAAAAGATCAACCGCATATTAGACATGAAGTCCCTGACAATTGTTTATTGGCAGTTTAAAACCGTTATTCACGCATTCTCAATACCATTTACAAATATTGAATCACAAAAAGTGAAAAAAATAATGTTCGCAAATCATGAAAATGTTGTTTGATTATGCACAAAGAACATCTCCTGGGCATAAGTTCAAAATATTGCAAACAAGATATGAACCATATTCTCTCAGCCTTATATTAAATAGATAAGGTCATTGTTTCAATAATAAGCCGAGAAATGTACGTTATTTTGAGTGTCCTTTCAGTTAACAGCTCATAATCTGTAAGTTTCTATGCATACGGTCAAGTTTTTTTTTACATAAAACACTTATAAAGAGATGTAATAATGAGACAAACACTTTTTTTTAATCATACCAATTTATTCACATATTTATGAATGTTAAAATAATACCAAATTTGACAGATGAATGATCAATATTTCATTATTCAAATACATACTTGGTAGTTCTTTACAGATTTATCACTAAAAACAATTTCATCATTAGAATGTTATCGGTCATTTATGATACATATAAACTTCTTATTACAATCAAAAACATGCATGTAGTTATTTTTTTAACTATATAGGTCTTTATAGTAAGGTACTAATTTTGTAACGTACGTTTCATTTTTATCCAAAAAACAACAACAATGAATTCATAAAAAAAAATCGAACAAGAACGCAAGAACGAGAAAACTAAAACTTATTTGTTTGGCATTTATCCTTTTTCTACAAATTTGAACGATTAACTACAAAAAATCAATAACGTAGAGTCAGAGTGAGCAATGTCTGTACACACAAAGATAAGAACAGGCGGTATTCTAATTGATGTTTCTGTTTAGTACGTTTTACTACAGTATTATGTGCGTTTGACATTATACGTTAAAATGCTTAAAAATATATATCTATAGCATTTCTAAAAGACTTGTTTACCGACGAGTTTATGTAATACTATCGTAAACTTTCATTCGTAACGTACATTTCAGTTTTTTTGACATCGGTTTTGTAACGTAAAAAAGTATTGAAATAAGTATTTTTAACATTATAAACATCTTTTTTTATTATTTGTTTTATTCAACTATTCAACAGCAAACAAGAAAACAATTTTAAAAAGCCACGTGATCATCCTTATATGCTGTTTGTTCATTGGTAATTATGAAGATAATTTGCAGCGATGTGAAGATATGCTTTGACCCCCATTATGCTGTAATTGATAAAATTTGCTTATATTTTTATTATATATTATATTTTATATATATACAGTTCAATTTTTGATACTATACAGTACACACGTATTGAGATTTTGTGCTCGATTGTGTGCACATTATACATGTAATACACCCCTGATGAAGGCATAATACGCCGATAGTACTTGGGTATTTATACTTTAGCACTGTATGAACGTTTATTTTCTCCAAATTTATTGTTTTTTTCCACGTCCTTGTATCCTTCTTTGGATCCAGTGTTTTTGAAAGGTATTTTGTAGATGCAAATATTTTTCACAAACCTATATATATATATATATATATATAATGCGTTCCAGAATAAAAAAGGAAATTCCAGATGTCCCTTTTCTGGGGGTCGACCTCAATGCGCTTTTTCAGCAACAATTTTACATGCACAAATACAGACAGTACAAAGCTGAGTTAGGGGAATAATTCCCCTAACTTTTTAACCTCAGACGAAACGCATTGTACCTGTTCGTTCTGCAGATATATGATACCACTATCATTTTAAATGGGTTTATTTTCTAAGGATAATGTTGGAAATGGTTGTTCGGAAATATTTCATGAAAACACACATCTTACTTTCAAATGGGTTAATATAACAGTAATTTACGCAGATTACAAAAACCTTTTAATTGTAGACGGTCAATATTTTTTACATATGAAATAGAAGGCCTGGGTTAAAAAGAACACAAATGTCTGATCATTTATAGATTCATGTTTTTATACTTGTTTGAGAATATAGAGTAGAGAGAAAAGAATACATCCGATATTAATTTGTATACAAGGAAAATATAGTAACGGGCTATATAACATATCACATTTATTTGTACATTATTCATCTTACTGTTAAGAAAAATAAATATATTTATCAAATAACTTACCGTACTTATTCAAGTAAAATATAAAACTTTTAAAAAATCGATAGGCATATGTTGTACTTAATTCTTATGTATAAATGTAGTGTTAAATATATGTTTTAATCATTATGCGTTTTCGAAAAAAAATATTAAGAAGAATTGATGAAATTAAATGCTCATTTTCATTTTCCATATTTTTCTATGTATAAGTTTACTTTTACTACAATGTAGCATATTTTCCGTACATATCACTGGTGTCTTAACTACTTTCGTCAATATACATATTAAAATAACAAAAAAATAAATAATCATTTTTAAACAGAGAAAACTATAATAAACAGGCAATTCAATATTTTTCCAAAAACTGATTATTATCAAAATATTTTATCTAATATGTGTCTACAACAACTGGTGAAATATTTATTTCTATATCACCCGATGAAGTAAAAC